TTCCAGTCCAAATTCTACTGGCATTGTTTCAAATGTGGCTTTCTCATCATTCAACACATTCACAGTGACTTGTTTAGTTTTACCTTGCAGTCCTAGCTCTGCAGCAACGTCTGCATTAATATAGGACCTTGTGCTGGCGTCATCTAGCAAAGCATTAACAGTAACTCTGCGATTCCCATGTTTGAGGATTACTGGCACTGTTCTAAGCCCAATGAATGAAGATTTTGAAGCAACGTTCGATGCCATGTTAGTTGCATGTGATCGTTCTGCTTGTTCTTTTGAACTATTGTCTGTATGTTCTATTTTGTTTAATGGAACTGAAGCTTTTTCAACATCAGCAGTTGAATCAACCCTGTCCCTATCCACATGTAGCAGCCTGTTATGGTTGCTTCTGCATCCATTCATGCCACATAATCTTGTTCGCCAACAGTGTTTACCACGATGGTTGCTTCCTAAGCAACGGAAGCAAAGATTTAACTCCTTTGCTTTGTTCCATCTGTCCTGCACTTTTAAAGCTGTGAACTTTCTACAATTCCAAACATCATGTGGCTCTTTGCATACTATGCACAAACTCTTTACTCCAGCATAATGCCCACCAGGTTTCTGGTTACTGCCATGCCCAAGGAATGTACGAGGAGTTCTTTTATGTTCAGATTTTAATGACTTATCACAGACACCATGAATGGTTTCAGCTGCAATTGTTTGAAATTCTGCTTCTTGGAGCACCCATTCTCTCAGAGTTTCAACTGACTCTTGTCTTTGTCTATCAAATACCCAACGTTGATACTCTGTAACCATGGCTTCAGTCATCTTTTTTAGCAACTTCATATAAAGAAGACCATTTCCTAATTCTTCTACTCTGTCAGATTCACGGATGTTAACTACAGCAACATCCAGCATGTCAGCAAATCTATCTAAATCTTTTGCATGACCTGGGCGAATGGGTTTGAAATTGTCTAACTCTTCAAGATGTAAAGCAATCTGGCGCCTCATGCCACCAAACTTCCTCTCTAATCTCTCAAGAGCTACTTGATAAGCAACTGCATTATGCCCCAAATCCCTAATCACTCTAAGAGCTTCACCTGCTAAATACTGCCGCAATTGCAATAGCTTGTATTCTGGTGTTGCTGGTGAGTTATCAATACATGCAATGAATGCTGCCTTCCAGCTCTGATAAGACCTGACATCACCTGCAAACACTGGAATAGAAACTCTCTGCAGCTGCTTCCACATGTCATGTCCAATCGCGCTTTTGTCTGGTTTATTCGAAAGAGAACTGGGTTCAACATGTGACCTACCAACCGTGAACATGTCCTTTGGTTGACCTAATTCATGTTCACTTCTTACAAAAGTCTTTATGGACTCATTCTGAGCCTGTTCAACGTCCTTCCCTTTTTCTCCGGGACATTCTTGTTTCTGACTTTTACCGTGTTCTTGTTTCTGGTTGAACAACATTGACATCCCTGTTCGTAAACTTAGTACAGAGCTAGCATCTGATCTACAGTCTAAGTACTGTTGAGCATGTTGCTGTGCACTTTCAGTCTCATCTTCAAGTCTAGTTATTTCAATGCTAAGTTTTTTAGAATTTGCTACATCATTGTTTTTGGAGTATTCTTCAGACAACATCAGCATTACTTCCATTGCTTGTTCTTGGACAATACACAACTGATCCATCTGATCTCGAACAGACCTTCGAGTTGGGACATCCTTACCTTCTGTCATATTGTAGAGTTTATTTTTCGCCTTCGTAAATGCAGTCTTTGCACTGGCTTTTTGTTTTTTGAGTTTTAACAAAACCTCTTCCACAGCTGGCTTTGACTCATTACTTTTACCAAAGTCCGACATTATAGTTTCAGATTTTAACATAAGCACAGTGTCTGAGGTTGCTTTTTGAGGTTCAGCCATTTTCTTCCTTACACTATTCCTGTTTGGTAGTATGAACCTAAGTCTTATAAACACATTTGTTTCTAACAACTAACTCACCTGTCTCGCACTGGAACTATTCCTGCATCCAAACTAATCTAACTTGCACCAATAACACCATGATCCACTATCAGGCAGTAACCATGAGTAAAAACGAATTAACCACGCTCTGCTACCATTTTTGGTCAGCAGAAATAGAAGAAGTGCAATAGACAGGCAAAGACACTAATTTATTTACGATGGTTTTATTACAGACAAGAATTACTGTTGTACTTCAATTTACATTTACAAAGTTTCTTTTCTTTTCCAAATTTCTATTATTATCCCGATCACTAAATGACTACTCTGTCTAACGATGTTGCCTATCCTAATCCTAATGCCAAACTGAATTACAATGACATGGTTGTCAACACGTGGCACACATGCATGCTTTTTTCATGCTTTTTAGATCTATTTCCGCGAAGTAAAGCAGTGTGTGCGCGAACTGCTTACACACAGGAACGACCTGTTCGGAAACATGGCATACTCACATCTGTGATGACAATTTCCTTATGTCCAGATGCTTTCCAGTATCCAGAGAAAGTCTGTTTTCTGTTGTAACATGGGGCGGTCGGGTAGCCTAGTGGTTAAAGCGTTCGCTCGTCACGCCGAATACCCGGGTTCGATTCCCGACATGGGTACAATGTGTGAAGCCCATTTCTGGTGTCCCCCGCCGTGATATTGCTGGAATATTGCTAAAAGCGGCGTAAAACCTCACTCACTCACTCAATCAATTACTGTTGTAACATGATAATGTCAAATGTCAGTGTATATTCTGCTAAATGGTACCGGTACCATGACCTTTAAATGAAACAGACTTGACAGATATCGTTATAGTGTAAGGTATTTATTTTAAGTCATGTGCAAGAAATAGTAAACATTACATACCCGTGGACCTAATTGTGTTTATTTGACCTGCATGTGTGTCATGCAAATTGCCGCCATTTTGTTGTAATCCGTTCAAAATGGAGGGTGCAATTTAACCGTTCAGCGTTTCCATACCGTGGAAAGGCCTTGAGGGACACTCGCTACTTGTCATTATGTGACGTGGTAAGTCCTTATTAAAATCAATGGAATTGTCTTTTGGATTTAATGAGAAAAGAGACATACAGTAAACTACGGTTATAATGAACACGCTTATAACGAACTGACCGATATAACGAACTTACTTGTTAGCCCCGGCCATGTGTTGCATATATGCTGTATATATGCTTATAACGAACTACGGTTATTACGAACTAAAATGGGTGGTCCCTTTGAGTTCGTTATAACCGTAGTTTACTGTATACTAATCTGACACTTGAAATACTTGATATACGTTTGACATTAATAATCCTCGCAAAGGTATACTGAACCAAATTCAAAACTTCACAATCCTAAAATTTTAACATTTTGACCAGTTATCATTGTGGGCCCTTATTGTGTATTTAAACAGTAATGGCCACGTATTGTCTTCAGATAACACCCGTTTTTGTGCAGGTGAATCGATCATAATCATGTGCACAGCACTATAGTGGCAAAAGTGTTTTTACACGTGCAACTGGTCTCGTGGCCATAATACCGCACGTGTTTTCAGCCATACTTCTTAGCAGTCATTAACAAAAAAAGAAAAACACAAGAAAACAAAAGTCTTTACGGCCATTTGTCATGCCACGCCTTTCAAATGTTCAACGTGAACGTCCCATCGGCATGTTGCAGACGGGAACGTCCGTAGCTGAAGTCGCAAGTACGATGGGTTGTAGTCGACGGACTGTTTATGATTTACAGACGCGTCTACAGCAAACGGGTACCACCGCTGATCGCCCTCGGCCAGGTCGACCACGTGTGACGTCACATGCAGAGGATCGTCAGATTGTCTTACGTCACCTCCGTAACCGATTTTTGACGGCTACATCAACCAGAAATGAACTGTTTAGGGATAGACTGAGCGCGCAAACTGTTCGAAACCGTCTGAGAACTGCTCACCTTTAAGCACGACGGCCATACTGCGGGCCGATTCTGACTCAATTACACAGACGTCAACGTCAATTGTGGGCACAGCGACACTTGCGATGGACTCAGAGGAATTGGAATAAAATCGTCTTCAGTGATGAATCCCGATTTAATCTTCGATTTGCTGATGGTAGGGCGAGGGTGTGGAGGCGCCGTCATGAACGTTACGCCCAGTGTTGTGTACAGGAAGTTGACAGATTTCGAGGCGGAAGTGTCATGGTTTGGGGTGCTTTCTGTGGCAATGCACGTTCCAGGCTTCTTGTCATCCGTGGCAACCTCAACGCTGCTGCTTACCGCGACCAGGTACTGGCACCAGAACTTCTGCCTTTTATGGCAGCACATGGACCCGGATTGATCTTCCAACACGACAATGCCAGACCCCACACAGCAATTTTGACAAGGAATTTCCTTCAGAATGCGGGAGTCAACGTCATGGACTGGGATGCTCTTGGCAGAAGTCTGCGCACTCTCCAGAACCAACCACAGAATTTCCAAGGTTTGGCACCATTTTGCAGCAACAATGGCGTCGTCTTCCCAATCATGTGTTCACAAGCATCAGAAGGTCCACGCGGAGGCGTTGTGTGGCAGTTGTCAACGCACATGGTGGCCATACACGCTACTGAACTTGTGTGCCATCAGATTCTCGTGCTTGGGACTTATGATTTAAACTGTTGATGTTATTACCGAATACCGTAGGTGCTTTGAACAAATTATGGTTACCAGCGTTAATTAAAATCCTTCTTTGGACATTAATGATTAAAAATTACCTTCTCTGATTCATTTTTCCGTTGTATCATATATGGGATTACTTTTAAAAATGTGAAGTTTTTAATTTGACTCAGTATACATTGCCACTGTGTATCAATACACATCATGAAATTAAGTAATAGTTCCTGAATTATGGACTCCAATAGTCCTTGCAATTGTTTCCACGTACATAGATAGTCAGGAATGTCTTAACATTGTCTACTTGACAAGGCTCGCTAAATACATCTTTATTTCTAATACATTTTACCATCTCAAAACAAAACGCGTGAGAACCTCAATATTAATGAAATTTCATTCCTTAAAAAGTCAAGTCGAAATCATGCAGGGGATTTGAGTATATTCAATTCCTTTACAAATAGTTTTCATTCCTTAAAAAGCGTAAACAAACGCTCGATAAGTATTCAACACATTTGAAGCCTGTCAAATCACGAAGACCACGATCGAAATCAGGAGATTTGAGTATATTCACTTCATTCACAAATATTTCAAGAGTCCTTCCTTCATGAATAAGGGCATACTCAGGCGTGGACGTTTTATATTAAAGTTTGCTCAACTCAATGTGTAGTCTAATAAAGCATAGTTTGGCTCTGACCGAACTATTATAGTCAAAGCACGAGGTCGTTTGCTCATATACGCAGGAAAAACTACAGTCGTCGCCTTTGATCTTTTGGCGAAGTAGATTAGAAACCGTCTTAATAAGTTTCTGTCAAGTATGGGATCGGAAGTCATAAATAGGCTTCACATATGAAGATGTGGACCCCAGACCTTCTGCGTGATGAGAGACGAACTATGTGCTGTTGCAAAGGGAATGACTGGTGTGTTATCTACAGACGGTAATTGCTTAGTGCTACCAGCATATACAACTCGAAAGCGATCATCTAGAATTTCTCAGGAACTTCTTCGGAAGGCGAAGGGGTTGACTTTGAAGGGGACGGTCGACAAGGCAGACAGGTCAGTCGGCCATTCCACCACAGCACGAGCAGTCCCCCAATCAGCTGGCCGAACCACACGGTGACCGCTGCCCATGCTCCTGCCTGGGTCATCAGAAAGACATACAACAGTATTGAGTTCATCATCAATTGACTAATACACAAATACCGTTTAACCTAAACGTTTCAGCAACATTTTAAATGGTCAACCACATGAATTATACATTTATTTATTATTTATACATACAGTCGTATACATAATATGTTTATTTCACAGAATCGACCCCCCGACCTGCGTGATCCGCCGTGGTACCCACACTTTTGACTGATGTGTTTGACACAAGCACTTTCGATATCTGAGCACTTGAAAGACCGACGTTTAGGTCACTATAAATCAATTATTCGAGTTTAATCCACAATTAAAAACACTATTACAGGTACCTTTGAACATGAAGTTTATTATGAAGTAATAATTAATTTGATATTTGATTTGACATATTTTGATAATATATCACCATGCAATTCGTGGGTCGAGGTCTTGTTTGTTAATTTGAAAAACATCTTCGCAGTCTGCAATATTTTAACTGTGCGCTGTTTAACGGCGGTCTGTAATTAATAGACAAACCACGTATTGATATTATGAGAAACGCCCCAGACAAATAACCAAGTCTCCGAGTCAGTCGCTTCTTAAGACAAGCTTAATGGATTTAACAAAGTGTTATAAGAGAAAGCCAATTGTACAGACTGCCTATTCATAAAACTGTCTTAGCTGAGACAAATCTTAGCGACTTACGATAAAAATAACGACAGACGTACGAGCTATTTTTGATGGTGACTTTCGCACCTATCGCAACGTTATTTCACTTACGACACAGATCTTAGCTAAGACAGTGAGCTCTTTTGTGACAGAGGTAAAATAATCTTCACCAGATTTGTAATTATATTATTATTCATTATTAAATTCATATACATTTTAAAGATAAACAATTAAACCGCAATTGAAGATTTGATTGGTTGGTTTGTTGGTTAACGCCGCACTCAGCAATATTCCAGCTATATGACGGCGGTCTGTAAATAATCGAGTCAGGACCAGACAATCCGGTGATTGACATCATGAGCATCGATCCACGCAACTGGGATCGATGGCACGCATCAACCAAGTCAGCGAGCTTGACCACCCGATCTCGTTAGTCACCTCTTACGACAAGCATAGTCGCCTTTTGCGGCAAGCATAGTCGCCTTTTACGACAAGCATAGTCCCCTTTTACGGCAAGCATAGTCGCCTTTTACGACAAGCAAAGTCGCCTTTTACGGCCATTTAAGATGCATGTTGATGTTATTTATGATGAATTGTTTACGTACAGTTGGTCAGTGAAGGATAGTATCGTCAAGCTGTTGTCCTCTGTAGATACATACAGCACGTACTGAAGACTATGTATAGAATTCCAAAGGATGATGCCAAAGGAAAACGAAATTGTGCTAAACATGCGTAGATATGCGCAAACTTGCGACACGTCGTAAAACCGTCTTTGCTTTCTGGGAGTACTGCATAATAGTCCATAAGCAACGTCGCAAATATGTCGTTTTGTTGCAACCGAAGTAATGTATAAACAAAGCTTGGGCGATAGCCGTGTACTACATAACCTTAGAAACAGCAATGTTCAACTCGGATAACAGTCCGAACACTACGCAGTGAAATGATTCAACTGATATTGTTTACGATATCATTTCAGACTGCAGCGAGAGATAACTATGCTATACCGGGATAATGATGATCACACGGACAAGTAAAAGCCTTTGGACACTGTGCCAGTTGATTACATATTCGTATCGGTACTGATTTTATTTCACATAAAGTAAATTTATTTGTGCATGTTCTCTGAGCATCTTACTTAAAACAACTCTCCCAGAAGGCTAGCGAGTTGAAAGTATTGTGAACACAAACAACAATAAACTTGAATCGTTTTCTCATATGATCCGTAATAGAATATTCATTCAAACATCATGCCACCTAGCTACACATTATTGACATTTTTAGACATTTTTTGTGCTTTATATATTTATATTGTGCTTTTATATATATACACACACACACACACACACACACACACACACACACACACATATATATATATATATATATATACATATATATATATACACACACACAAATGAGGTAAATGTTCACTCGGTGTACATGTAATATATAATAAAATAATAAAGTCCACGTTAGTCCATCATCTTCTTTATATCAGTATCATACATATATATATATATATATATATATATAAAGCACAAAAAAGCACAAAAAATATTGATAATTAAATAAGTGGAGTAAGATTGAACTCAGTTATGGCCTGATGAGGCTCGTACGTGGTACGAGTTGAAAGCGCTAACCTATTAAAACTGTGTTCAATCTTACTCCACTTATTTCATTATTACTATATATATATATACCGTAAGCTCCTAAGACAGTCCTGACCGTGTCTTAATATTTTTCGTAAACCTGAGGTAAATTAGCGTTACGACAGCTTCGAGAATAGATTTAGCAAAGTTATTTTTCGCTGAGACACCTTTACATCAATCCTAGAGCTAAGACAGCTTCGTGAATAGGCCACCAGCTTTTGGAAGTTACCTGAGATTGATGACGTGGTCCAAGGGCCTCTACGGGAAATTATGTCCTGAGTGAACGAATGTCAACAGAGTTGCATAAGAAAAAGGTCAAAAAAGGGGGAAAGGAAACACGAGCCTTAATTATCATAATTACCATAATTATTTAGTTACCGTAACTTCAAAACGTCACGTTACGAAGAATGGATGACTTTATATGGTATTCTCATCCACACAGAAGTATGACATCTTTTTATTCGGGGGCACGGGTTGCCCAGTCGTCTTAGGCGCCGCGATTCGCTGCGCAGAGTTGCGTCCCTTGGGCCAGAAACCTTCGAACCGGTTCGTCCCGATTACGTTTCTAGGTTTGTCAGCACCATATCCGTGCTAGTGGGTTTCACCGAAGTGGTAAACATACATCACTTCGGGCTTTCCTCCCACATTAAATGAATGAGTGAGTATGGTTTTACGCCGCTTTTAGCAATATTCCAGCAATATCACGACGGGGGACACCAGAAATGGGCTTCACACATTGTACCCATGTCGGGATTCGAACCCGAGCGAACGGTTTAACCGCTAGGCTACCAGACCGCCCCCACATTAAGCTGACACGCCGTAATATACCTGAAATAAGTTAAAAGCGGCGTAAACCCAACGCCCTCACACTCTCTCTTGTTGTATTCGAAATTGCAATAAGACGTCATTTTGCATTGTCATTTATACGGCAATATGACGTCATATATCCCAAGTAATACACCAATATGACATCATATTGTATGCTCATTGATACCGCAGTTTGACATCGTATTGTATTGTTCTCAAAATACAGCAGTATGATGTCATAATCTACCATGAATTTGGAATTTACTCGATTCTGATTAGTGCTATAAAATCAGAATAAACCCCCTCTGATTGAAACAGCCGGTTTGACGGCCGCATCACCGCGGAAGCTAATATTCATAGAATATTTCTATTTTCAGTCATTGTCGGTAGGCATATTTAAATAATTATATCTACAATTACAGGTTACAAAATGCACAGATGCGGTTACAACAATATTCAAACGATGTGTGGCAATACATTTCGTGCAGAAAAACGCTATGCGTTCGGTTCCAAATTCAATTTAGCGGGGTGTAATCTACAGGCAACCGAGCTACATTGAAAACACAGTATGTTTATCTCCTAATTGTATAGTTCTCATTAAACAGCACAAAGATGGCATATTGGTTCAGGTCATAAATCATCTTTCAGCAGAAATTCAAATGCACATGCGCAAATATAGGAATTCTTACACTCGACGTTTTTTTTACAGTTATCGGTTGCATATAGAGGAGCATATATTTCATTTGAATGTGTGTCATGTTCTGTCCTAAGGCATGTTTATCAGATTAACGTCGCATCGCCAATGTTAGAAACCTAAGAGCAAAATATGTTTGTATTACGTTAACAATGGACCCTATGGATAAAGATAAACTACGGTTATAACGAACTAAAAGGGACCAAAAGTTTTAGTTTTTTATAACCGCAGTTCGTTATAGGCACATATACACCCTATATACAGCAAATCCACGGGACCCCAAAACGGTTCGTTATATCCATCAGTTCGGTATAAGCGTGTTCGTCATACATTGAAGAAGTATTGGAGTAATGTTTATCCCAGGTTTGAGCATTTACTGTAAGAGGCGACTTACGGGATTGGGTGGTCTGGTTAGATCGCTTGGTTGATGCGTGTCATCTTATCCCAAATTGCGTGGATCTATGCTTATGATGTAAATCACTGGATTGTCTGGTCCAGACTCGATTATTTACAGACCGCCGTCATATATAGCTGGAATATTGCCGAGTGCGACGTTAAACAACAAACAAACAATCTTGTACTTGAGTGTACTGGAGTGTATTAGAGTGTACTGGAGTGCTCCCTGAACGATGGGGTAACATGGATAATCAACCCCCTTGAAGACTTACCTCTGCTGCAGATAGATTCTGATAGTCTTCTTTTGTTTCGTCAGTGCCTTCCGCCATAGATGAGCACCTATGGAAGCGTGAGTGAGTGAGTGAGTGATGTTGTACTCCGCATGGAAGGGTATTTCACTATGAAACATGAGGGCTTAATATGACACATGTGGTGGAATGTTTTGCCACCTACCAAGGCGAAATCCACATGTATGGATGTGGTGCTGACCAAACTTCCTAATCAGTGGGAATCTGGGACTCGAACCCAAGTTAAGCGGATCCTGGTGCGAAAATGACTATGTGTAGAAGGAAACCAACGTGGATGCTAATTAATACATGGCAAAGGAACGCAGTATCTCAATTTCAATAGTTTATTCAAAATGTATTTACGTTATTGTGACTACTATTCGAATCTTTTACTTTTGACAATATAATCCTTGACTAATTTCCACGTTGATTGCATCAGTAAATAAAGATCTGCCGTATAAAACCGTTTTCAGGTTATATCTGTGGGTATAAAATACAGAGTATTTCGAATATTTATGTAGATTCTGCATGTAAATAGAAAATAATTGAAATGTATTTTTTTGATACATGGTTTTCCTGTGGTGGAACATTTGATATGGGTATCATATTTTTCATGTTTTCAGCCAAGAGTGAGTGAGTTGGGTTTAACGCCGCTTTTAACAGTATTCCAGTTATATCGCGGCGTGTCAGCTTAATGTGGGAGGAAAGCCCGAAGTGATGCAGGTCTCGGACGTTTACCACTTCGGTGAAACCAAGGAGCACGGGTATGGTGCTGACAAACCTAGAAACATAATCGGGGAGAACCGGGATTCGAACACACCATCATAGGTTTCTGGCGTGCCCAAGGGACGCAACTCTGCACAGCGAATCGCGGCGCCTTAGACGACTGGGCCACCCGTGCCCCCTTTTCAGACAAGTAACGTGACAGGGGCTTCATGGGGAGATATTGTAAGAGCAGAGTTTGTACGCGATGTTAAAATAGACAAGATAGTATGTACTCACGAAAAACCTGAGTCGCCGACGAAGCTATCGCACAACATTTTGAAGCCAACACTGATGGTGCAGGCAGCGACGAGGACGAAGAAAAATGCAACACCGTCGGCGACGACATGGATTAGGAACGGTAACTCTTGGTACGGCATTCTGTGAAAAGACATTTCTGGTGCGTCATTCTAGCAATACCAAGCACAGGGGGCACCCTATATAGCCATTTGGCACCCCCACCGTCCTTTTATACGATTTGTCATACCGCTGTGATAGATACATGGCAATGGGATTTCATCATAAACTGGAAGCATACCAACTCATCTACTCACAAGTATCAAGACAATTACTTTCAATTTCCAATCTTTCACCATGAAAAGCCTCGACATATTTTCTGTCATTCTTTTTGGGTCTGATTCTAATGATGTGGCGCTAAATCGAATTAATTCATGTGCAATACAAACTCTGAGTACGGCGTGTTATTCCAGCGAATGGAATTTATCATATGAAAATGGCACTGACTAATTGAAGCGGAATTAAAATACTGCCGGCCAAAAGAAAGCATACACCCATGTTTGATGGCATCTTCCCGAGGTAAGGAATTTAACTGACTGTGAAAGTCCAGTTTCCACCCTTGCCGAACTAGTCTGGAATTTTGATCCTCGTTGTAGCGCCACCAGTGGCTATTACGTCCCTTCTTTGTACCTGCTACTGACCAATCAGATTCCACCTTTCATATAACTGGCCTTTGCTTCAAACAAAATGACCGCGCCCAGTTAAGCGGATCTGATCGATTATCAAGATCTTTATTGTAAGAAAACGGGTCTTACCTCGCGAAGAGCATCAAATCACTTGACCACATTGAATAAAGTTAAGTAAAGTCGAAATTTTACTCCATCATTCCAACGTGGACTTTTATAGTCAGTTAACTCCTTTGCCTCGGGAAGATTGTTTGATGGTGGCTAATAATGAAGTCAAATCTAATTTTCTTTTGCCCTGCGGTTTATATAAAACTGTTGCGGCTTAATCTTGTATCCACAAAAACTGTTGTTTTGCCAAGAATCGCCATCTTACATTATATTCTTTCCTATGCAGATGACGTTGATGATGATGACGGTGATTGGATACAGCAGGCAGAATACGGTGGCGATGGCGATGTTGTAGTTACACGTCGACTCCGACCCGAACGACAAGTTTGTTAAGTCCGCGTACAGCAAACAGTTGTTGTCGTATTTAGACTAGTAAAGGTTGAACTTGGTTAATTGTGACGTAACAAGCAAGTGACGTCACATGAAACAAAAAATGAAGTCAGTATCGGAAAGGCAGTTTATGTGTGTAAGCTGAGTTGGTTACAGATTTATTACGAGTAATGACAAATAGAGATTAAGAGTATGTTTCTGTATCATAAATTATGTTCTATATTAGTAAGACCCGTGAAGATCCGGGGTAGAATAGGTCTTCAACAACCCATGCTTGCTTTAAAAGGAGACTATGCCTGTCGTAAGAGGCGACTAACGGGATCGGGTGGTCAGGCTCGCTGACTTGGTTGATGCATGTCATCGTATCCCAACTGCGTAGGTCGATGCTCATGAAGTCAATCACTGGACTGTCTCCAGACTCGATTATTTACAGACCGCCGTCATATAGCTGAAGTATTGCTGAGTACGGCGTTAAACAACAAAGAAACAAACAAACATGTTTATTAGTAACATAAATTGTATTTGTGCGAGCCTTGACGACTCACAAAGGCAAGGAGGATCGCCGCACATGTTGATCATCAGGGCTCGTCACTTGAATACATGTCAGGGGAATGAATAGGCGTATTGACTACACTTACCATGCTTACTGCTATTGCCACTGTAAAGCCACATATGACGAGCATAGCATAGAGTACCGTCCTGACAATGGGGATCAGGAGGGGCGACACCGTGACAGCCATTGCAGAAAATATATGTTGCTGCAGGGACTGGCAGTCATACAGAGTTACCGCCCTTGAGGAGACATGGCTTCTTTCATCTTTCATACAACATACCAAAATGAATGGAAAAAATTGGCGAAACAATTGCGTTTGGCAGTCCTGATATGTTTTTTTTAAAACAAAACACCAGTTTGTTAAAACCTTTGTATGTTTATTGTATGTTTAGGGGGCGTTTTTGAAAGGCAGCTGATACTGGTATCAAGATCAAACTCTCAGTGTTATCGTGACCTTGTTAGGTTACAAAGGTAGGGATTATGCATGCTTTTTATACACCTTTCGTCATACTCTTGTTCAGTACATCCTAGCTGCGTCATAGGGGCCGTAACAGAGATTGCAAGGAGCAGTTCACAGCTGTAATTTCGCAGTCAGGTCCATCTAGTAACATCTAGCAACAGGTTCGCCTACATTATGTCTCTAGGTTTGTCGGCACCATACCCGTGCTCGTGGGTTTCACCGAAGTGGTAAACGTCCGAGACCTGCATCAGTTCGGGCTTTCCTCCCACATTAAGCTGACACGCCGCGATATAACTGGAATACTGTTAAAAGCGGCGTTAAACCCAACTCACTCACTCACTCTGGGTGAGACTGACGTAAAGTCATGCAAGCCTGTACGACCATTACTATGCACGTGTTACAACCCAATAGTCCAACAATAGGTTGCCAAAGTGATCGCTTGTTTCGTCAATGATGTCTGTGATGTATATCATCTACGCCCTCTGCAGTGTCTGAATTTAAACCACATCGAGCATTAAAACAAGTCAATTATAACATTCCTAAATTCTGATAGAGCTGAAAGTCGCGTGAAGTAACTTTTAGGGTCATGTGACTTTGTCGGCTTTTCATGAGGTATGTACGTTACACACAAGGGGGGCGTTTTGCATGATTTACCGGTCAGTTTCAAACCAATTTAATTAAAATCACATCCCATTACGGTCACGTCAGAACGACCTTTCGCGATCTTTGACCCACCACTGAAATGACTTACAAGAAGTAGACATCAGCCAATTAGAAAGCAGCTTTCTCGAGCTTTACGACCCTCGTTTCAACCTGGCGACTTCCATTTTAGACTAACTTGAAAAATATGTTGACACAGTTCTCGATGACAATTTTGAAAACTGAACAAACAAACATTCCGGAATGTCTAATATATGGTTGAGATTGTATAGCTCAGTGCTTCCAGGTACTGTGCAACGCCTCTTCCGTTCAAATGTTTATCCCATGGAACCTAGAGTTAGACAATGATTTTGACTGAATCAGCCGTAAGGGCCGTAAGTGTCGTTCGGAATACCCCGTGTTAACGTTTTCGAGGTTGCATGATTACAAAACACATTCCGACTGTCACTTTCATGATCAGGTAAGCGACGCTTTGATTGGTCGGAAAACACCTACAGCTCCGGATCCACGTCCAGCACAGCACCTTTATGGATGTTTCCCTATTAATACCAAACCATTTGTAATTATCTCAATCTAAAACTGCGTTGTCGCGCATGAACGTTTCACATATGCATACAATATCAAAATCATAGTATTTGGCCGGACATCACTATTCTCAGGACCTATGAGGGACCAACCGCAAACGTTCCATGTACCAGCCCGTGTAACCTATACTGTATTTCGTTCAGGAACATTCTTGCTGGTATATCCCCCTTATTTTACTTGTAAGGTGTGTCTAATAATAGTTCTTATGTTTGCATTTTCCTTCAACTCTGTTGCAGTTTTACAGTTCTCAACATTTTGTATTTTATATCAGTAAACATTTTTGTATCTGTTGATATGTTTAGTGGTAAAATCCAACTCACTCACTCACTCATGACAAGAACCCCGTCCCGGTATTACAGCCACATATTATTCAGAGATTCGTGAAGCTGGCAACTGAGAGTGAGAATATGACTGGTTCAGACATTCTTTTGACACGCCGCGGGCGGGAGCTTTACCACTCGACCAGGGAGGCGGTCCCCGGGTTGTCAGCCATATGTGAACGTAGATGGAGAGGTAGACAAACACTTTTTCCTTTCTTCGATAGAGCCTTTCCTCTTCAGCTGTTTTCATGTGGAATCAAGGAAACTAGACTTGGTTTAGTGTGATCTGGACTTGCCAAGGCTTTTACTATATATAAATATCCCGGTCACGGTGCAGGACAAATGGAAGGCTAGAGAGAAACCATGTTACAGTCTGTTTCGAATGTTGTCATTTGTAATTAAAATCTTTACAAACTCGTGTATTTTCTATGTCACAACCTACACAAATATCACCATTTTTTAAAAAAATATTAATTTTAAATGATAAATCTACAACTCTAAAAATATAATTTATGTACTTTGTTTCCGTGACTGCTTTAGCTGACAACGGATAGTCAGGGTATGACTGGTTAATTGGTCTGTCTTGTCGCATCCTTATGCATTAGGGGCGGTCGGGTAGCTTAGTGGTTAAAGCGTTCGCTCATCACGCCGAAGACCCGGGCTCGATTCCCGACCTGGGTACAATGTGTGAAGCCCATTTCTGGTGTCCCCCGCCGTGATATTGCTAAAAGCGGCGTAAAACCATACTCACTCACTCCTTATTAACCTTACAAAGTTTGGATTTTGTTTGGCATGCGTCCTTTCTTCATCCTGCTTTCTGAACAGTGGCATATATATCTTCTGGGTCAGCATCTTATAAATCCATACTTGTAAGAGACGACTAACGGGACCGGGTGGTCAGGCTCACGAACTTGGTTGATGCATGTCATCGTGTCGCAATTGCGTAAATCAATGCTCATGATGTCAATCATTGGATTACCCGAAACTGACTCGATTAGTTTACACACCTCCGTCATAAAACTGGATATATGAGAGCGGCGTTAAACAACTAACAAACATAATTTGGTTCGGCATCTTATAATTAGATGGATACAAGCGTGACTGTTGCCGACAGAGGTGAAGGTTATACTAGTTAACTGTCTATAGGCGTCATAGTAACATGTAGTGCTCGTATCGCGCATACCACATGCGCCGTCAGTTCAAGGTTGGACCGTCCGGGTCAGCGCACCTAGCGGGTTAGTGAAGGGAAGATAAATTGAAAAAGATCGCCAATTATCCACAGTGAGACGTTAAACTGTTAAACTAAGCAAGCGGCTGTAAAATCCTCTTTACACAGACATGTCAACAGTATTTCATTAATATCATGGCGTGCCAGCTTAATGTGGGGGGAACGCCCCGATGTAGGTCAACTGATTTTGAACGCTCTTATTAATTACTCACAAATATACATATATTTGGGAAATGAGGGTGACAGGGTATTTATGACTTCAATTTCATATTGATCATGTGTCTCTCTAATTACAGTTATACAAAGTTTTAACAAAAAGTAGACAAATCCTTATGTGCTGAGAATAACATCCTGTCACGTGACCGGATACAACTAATCTATTTTTAACCTTCGTCGCGCCAGGCATGGTAGAAACAAAATATATCCGTGTATAATGTACACGTGTGGTGTATGCAAACTCAACATAAAACAATTCAGAAAAAACAACTTTAATGAGCGTTATCATCAACAAACAAGATCCAACATACAAACAACAGTTCATGTGTAACAATCAGTTGGTCACATACCACTGTGAAATTGTTCCCGCGTTAATATCTTAATCCTCTAATCTTACAATTTTTTAGATTAATACGTGTTTGTTTGTTCTTTAAAGCCGCACTCAGCAATATTCCTGCTATAAGACGGCGGTCTGTAAATAATCGAGTCTGGACCTGACAATCCTGTGATTGACATCATGAGCATCAATCCACGTACTTGGGATACGATGACATGCATCAACCAAGTCAACGTGCCTGACCGTTACCCGCCTCTTACGACAAGCATTGTCACCTTTTAAAACAAGCATGGGTTGCTGAAGACCTATATTTTACCTCGGATCTTCACGAGTGACATGTCTTTCAGAAAGTGTACGATGGACAATGAGGACTCCCCCAAATCATTTATTTTTATAAGTGGTTGTCAGTGAACAGGGTAATCAAGACACGTCAAAAGTGAGTGAGTGAGTGACTGCCGCCACTTCGAGCAGTAATTCATAAGGCACTATCTATTACATGAAATACTGATGGAAAGAATTAAGGGAACATGCAATGACAAATGCTACACTTCAATGTGACCTTCCGGTTGTCCCGTGGGCGCCGGATGTTGCAAGGCAAGGTGACCCCCTACATTTCTCTCGTGGTCTTGTGTTGTTGACAGGAAGCAGGTTTCTGTTGTATGTTGTTTCCTTGTGTATTTCACCTCACCAGTATATGCTTCACGAGCTAGGGATATACAGCTTGATGTGCCTCCTATTGCCTGTCGACACCAAGTTATCTATCTGCGATAATTATAATCACTTACCAACCCAAACTGGCGGCCTATTCACGTAGCTGTCTTTTTTTCTGGAGATTCGAATACTTGCTGACGCCATATATTTTTAGAGGGAAGTGTCCAGTGACTTGTTCCCCATAGAGGAAGCTGGGCTACATCACAGTGGCCGAAAGATCGCATCCAAATGTGGGAGAGATATAACAATCGGTATCAGGGGAAAAGGTACAGAAAGGAGAATATGCGGGAAATACAAAACGTCACCCACCTGTTCGTAAAATGGACTTGTCCGACATTTCCGAGGTCGGATTCTATTCAGGGAATCATCATTAAAATTTGGGGAAATATTTCAAAAGCTTGAATGTTGATATCTCATATAAGAAAAAAAACCGACTTGCGGTCGTTGTTTATCGCACAATAAAATACTCCAGGGAGAATAGATAGATAGATAGATAGATAGATAGATAGATAGATAGATCATGGAATTGGTTTCGGCTCATTATTACTGTACATTACGGGACGCCGTTTAGTTGCAAGGAGTTTGAATTGATAACAGAGCTCGGCAAAATATATTGACAATTTGGCAGGGTATATTTTTTCCAGTTGCACAAACGCTGTAGCTGGGTGTAAGGAAATTTATCAAAACATGATTGACCAATCAAATGTAAGGTAGGATAAATAAATATATATCCACATACACATCTCTTTTTATAATACGATTGAAGTTGATTTATACCCGTGATATACACCAAAGGCACAATGGTTATTCAGATTGAAAGATAAGGTTATGCACTCCATACCCTAAATGACAACAAAGCAGTAATGGTAAAAACCAATCCGCCATCAAGAATCAGCAGAAAAAAAGAAGTGAAACACGAATGCATTTCCACACTTTGAATATGATTCGTAACAGTGTAAAGCTAAATTATCAAAATCACAATAATATACTAAAATAATAAAATAAAAATAGAAAAACAATAATGTAAACTCACTCCTTTGAGGTCTACCAAATAAGTAGATTTAAGTGATTTTCCATTTACAAATCTGTGGAGATTTCTCTTAGGTAGCAGGGGTCGTGTACTCTCTCTTATCCGACGTTGCCATATTGGCGAGGAGGTCATGATTAGACTTCACAAATTGTAAATGATGTGGAGATCCGAACCCCGACATTCTGTGTGATGAGTAATGAATTACCCGCCATGCTACATCAACGCCATAACGGGTGTTCGATTATAGAGACCGCGGTTGCTTCGTGCTGCAAGAATACACAACTTGAATGTCCCATTCATCTAGAATTTCGGAGGGACTTGCTGGGAAGGCGATGAGGGTGAATTTTTAGGGGATGTTAAACAGGGCAGACAGGTCAGTCGGCCATTCCTCCACAGCACAAACAGTCCCCCTATCAGCTGGACCAACCACACGATGACCGCTGTCCAAGCCCCTCCCTGAGTTATTAGAAAAACAACAACATAAATTGCGTGCATATATATATATATATATATATATATCCAGACGAATTCTGCGATTCTGCGTTCGCGGAAAGACATGCAGAAAATGTAACTTACCGCAGAATTGCAGAAAATCGCGGAATTGTCTTTTGTAATAAATCAATACACTATTTTGTCATTATTATCAAGCGTTTCTATCGCATTTTGCACTCGAATGATGCCCAAACAGTTTACATGCGATTATTATTTTTTTTAATCAGTTTCTATTTATTTCATAGGGGGAATTGGTTATGTGTAAAAATATAACCAAAATATTTGCAGAATTTTGGTAATTTGACCGCTGAATTCGTCTGGAACTGATAAAACACATGTTCCTAATACTACCCATGAACTTGAACATTTTAAGACATATAAAGTATGCGTTACCATGCACTCAATCTTTAACTCCTTTAGGTAATCTGTGGAATATTCTAAATAACCACATGATGGGATGAATTCATAATGTCAAGTTTCGAGTAGGTCATCCTTTATGTTATCATGTGTCATTCAGACGAAGAAAATCTATATGTGGAATCCACAAGGAAACCTCTCTCCATTCAGCCATAGTTCAGATAACATAATCTGGCCTGTCACCTAGGGCGCGTTGCAAGCCACAAATCGCTTAGAGAAAAGAAATTCATCGCTCAACCCGTGGTCTGCAACAGTTCGAAGCGCTTGCGGCGCGTCTACCGCTTGGTTGCCTTGACGTTTGTTTGTTTGTTGTTTAACGCCGCACTCAGCAATCTTCCAGCTATATGACGGCGGTTTGTAAATAATCGAGTATGGACCAGACAATCCAGTGATTGACATCATGAGCATCTATCCACGTTATTGGGATACGATGACATGCATCAACCATGTCAGCGAGCCTGACCATCCGCGTAATGAAGAACGTAATAAAAGAGGCTCGATGACGAGCTGATGAAATTTATGACTACTTTGAAGATGTGGAGCAGACTGAGGATGATGGGGTGTTAGCGACCTTTGCTCATTTTCTCGTTGATCCAGTCAAGAATTCCTTGTTCCGCTGTCAAAGTAAGCCGCCATTTTGGTTTGAGAACGAAGCGACCTCAGTCAGCGATTGTTTCGCTTGCAAGGGGCTGAAAGTTAGCGCACTGTTGTAAGGTGAATCGCAGTACATCGCTTACAAGCGATTGGCGCTTTGCAACGCACTCCACGCTCTGCAATACCGCTCAGTGCCGCGCTGTGTTTACGTATATACATTGCTTCAAAAGGGTTACAACGTTATTCTTCCCCGCCCTTAAGGCGGGGAAGTATACGGGAGAGGTTAATTTTATGGCATGTAAGTCGACATGTTGGTTTCTTTGAAATTTCAAGCCACACAGTTACCGAAACGAAACATACAAATCATGTGAAATGTGCGTGAAATGTTGATGTTTATCTTTTCCAGCAATAAGAGATACTTCAAAATCGTCTTGCTATTCAGAGACTCAGTCACTTTTCGTAATGCTGATAACCCATGAAATTTGTTCATTTTGTTTTTAAAAGAGCTAAAAATGATCCCATTTCGCTAAAGTTAACCGGTCTTTATTTTGTAAGAATAAACTATTGCGCATTGAGCGATTATCTCCTTTAGCTACAGGCGTAGTATACAAGTGATAAATCACGCACTGACCATGCATTGCTGTACATCGTATCTTATTCAAGCTGTATCACTGAGAGTGAGTGATTATCTCCCTTACCCGAACAGCTCAATTGCGCACTACCTTTGCAATGTATCGTATGTTATTCAGGCAGCCATCGAGAAACGTTCCAGGAAGGAATTTAGGCCAAGCCTGTCACGCGCACTCAATTTTCACACTGCTATTGCAACATATTGTTCAACACGATTAAATAGCAGGCTTCTATAAAGTATGACTTTGTTCAATAAACAACACATGTAAAACAACGGGTTTGATATCAGAATTTTTTTATTAGTTGTCTTCATAATCACATGTATGGCGCTTGCTGTGCATAGTTTTAAATACTTCACTGTATGTAATGTATGGTACATACCGTACCGCGGCGCTTTACGTTTCTGCATGGTTTATTGCTTTGACCAAAAAAAATTAACTTCCAGCAGAGATCATACACCCGTATATGTTCTTTGCTTCTGGATACATAGGAAATCAACAGGTTGGTCTGTAGTTTGCAATTTTTTTCCAAAAAGATAATACGGTTGCATGATATCTTCACGATGTTTAGGTTGAACATAGTAACATTCTTCTATACAAATTTCAAATCTAAGCCAGAAGCAATCACAACACAAACCGAGTTAACCAAACGGAACCATACACAAGAGTGAGTGAGGTAGTTGGGTTTAACGCCGTCTTGTATAGTATTCCGTGTCAGCTTGATGTGGGAGGAAAGTCTGAAGTGATGCAGGTCTTAGACGTTCACAACTTTGGTGAAACCAACGAGCAAGGGTTTTGTGATGACAACAAAATCGGGGCGAACCGAGATTCAAACACATGTCATAGGTTTCTCACAAACTACAAAATACATGCACAATAAACGACAATTAAAAAACACAGGAACATTCAACATTCAAAGGAGGTACATTATAACAATTTTATTTCAAAAACAAGTGTTTTATAATGATATGGAAACAATATGAGAATTGAGCAAAACTATGTAATTGTTGATATGTTAGCAGATCTTGGAAGTTGTTTCTGGATAACTGTTGGTAAACTTATTAAGAATCTGTTAAAAACAGAGTGTACCAAATTCTTTATCATAATTGGGGATTATTTGTGATTCTCTTTCTTGGTTGTATTATGTAAGACAGTGCGTAATGTTGTTCATCTTCTGAGACATCACATGTTTCACAGAGACGTTGTTCAAATGGGGTTGGTGTTTTTTTATATCTACAATTTTTAGTTTGTGATTACTTAAACGAAGTTTTGAGAAAAGTGACCTATGGCCTTTGTTTTTACAATATGTAAGATAATTCTCAATATTTATAGATAACGTGACCAAACTGTATGTTCCTAACTTGCTGCTAGATAAATGGGAATCCATTAATGATTGCGTGAATTTTTACATTTGAACTGAAGTATATTTAGAGTGGATTCATTACATTTTTTGTGTTAACTATTTTAAAAGTTTGCTTTATTTAACCCAGCCAACATTTTGACCAGAAATATTGATATTTGCTGCAAAAGCATGCTTTAGAATGACATTTGTTGTGTTATCTATATAGGATTTTTTTTATTGGTACAAATAGTGGGTATATATCAAGTTTTGCCTGACAGGCCCAGTTTTCTTGCCTGGGGTTTCTTTGTGCTGACCAATTAAAGACACTGTTTCTTTTATTGTGCTTTCCAAAGATAAGTACATTAATAACAACCAATTTGTACTTTACACCAATTCTCTCCTCCCATAGCTTACACTTCCTTCATCTGCACATAACATTATATCGCGGGGAGCTATTGATGCTCTGCAGCAATCTCTACTTGTTATTTCTTCACACAATGTAACCAAATTGTACGCAACTCGAGTTGATTGTCTTTCTATCAGCAAATCTAAAAGATCTATGCACTGCCTAGCCATCGGCGAAAGTGCCGGTATTGTAAGTTTGCTACTTTTCTAAATTTATCGTAATATGGAAGCACCCGAATGAAAACTAGCAAAATCGATAATAAAAATGGTTTTCGGTAATTATGACTTGCTTTTTCATATCATAAAACATATTTTGGCCAAGCTAAACAAAAGCATGGATGAAACATATATGGTTTAAGATTGTGAAGAAAACCTATCTAAATAAACACAAGAATGCATTCGCCTTGATCTTAGACAAGATGTATTTTTTTACAAATTCTATTTTAGAATAGATGACACAAAATAAATGACTAAATGTGAATCACATGGCCTTGGTCGAAATATTTGATAATTTATATAATGCAGGGTACAAAAACAAATAATGAATACTATTCATGTATTCACGATGTATTTCAAACATCAAAACGAAATCACTTTACACTGAAAACATTTTGTCATTCAGAAAGTGTGAAGTGTCTATTACTTTGTTATTAATGAGACAATTCGAGATTAATATATGTGTATAAAATATTTTAACGAGTGTTTAATCTTGGACCTATTCTAATTAACAACTGCATTCACTGCATTCCATCATTCCCATCAGCAACTAAGTGTCTTAACATATGTCAGTATACCATAAATATAGAAAAAAAACTGCGCCAAATTCTAACGGTGTTAGTAGAGCGAAACGGTCTCATGTACTCGTCAGTGATACTTGTACAAACATTTGCCCCCACCCCACCCCACCCCCCCACACACCCAAACGTCAAAAAAAAGTTAACTACGGCCTTGTATTTAGAAGCTAAAACTACGTTTGTCCATTATACGACCAAAACATATCAGCTGTTTGACGAGACGTCATCCACGTCACAACACGTGAGGACAAACCACGCGCACCGGTCCACGACAAACGACAAATTCACAGCGGCGGGAAATCACAGACCGTGTGTCAGTTAGCCTTTACGATACAAGTTCCCCTAAGTTCCGCGTGCCGCGTCCCCGCGTCCCACATTCCCCAGTGTCAGCCTCTGAAAACAAGTGCTTCTGTACTCCACTCCCACGCACTGTCCCCAGCTTCACCATCCAGCAAGCTTTACCCAGGGGCCATTAATAAAACCTTGTCCCCTGACGTAGTCTCCATCAAATATCATTTTTGATGGAAGAGGGTTACTATATTCAACAATGAAAACAAGCCACAACGACATAAAAAAAACATCTACATTGGGTCACACCAGTCATCATTAATATAACAGTCTGCAAGATCCTAACACCATAACGTAAAGGTTTAAATGACAGGCATGGTGTCGGAACAGTGCTTGCCTCTGTCAACACCTCAACTGCCGAGCGCTTAAGCTGTGAAAAACCTTGTCTTATTTTTGTTTGGCGCTATTGAATACATAACAGTTACGGTTGGAGTGAAGGGGAACTAATTGGAACTATTTTAGGTAATAACTTCTTTACAGGCTTGTGCAGGTCTTTCATAAGGCCATGAAACGCCGTCCCTTTACTAGACTAACATCTAGTCTCTGAAATGAACACATCTTACATAAAAAAACAGTTGTTCAGTTATCTTAATAAAAATATAATGAAAAGGAGCCCAGTGACTCTCTTCATTTTCAGATACTGCAGTGATCTAGACTTGCCAAACATTATAGACTTGAATGGGCTGTATTTGATATATATTTGTATCAGGGTCTGTAAGACAGACTATCCCTTTACTAGATAAGCCAGTGACAAGCACGTGGCGGCGAGTTTATTCTGTAAAGCCTTGGAGAAAGGCTATCCAACTGTGCCCACAGTGAGGATAGGGGAACGGCCTGGGAGAGAAATGGGGGAAAGGCGGTCAAGGGGTGAAGGTTGGGGGTAATTGGGGTGACAGGGGCCTGATTTCACTGGAATGTGAAGAGGCGGCAACGAAGCACGCGGAACAAAGGGAACTTGTCGTCCAGACCGTCCCATAAAATTGTACACATTGTAAGGACATGGAACGAAAAATACAAAGCGCCATGCTCATTGCTGATAACACAAAAGTTGCGATAGATTTTCATATCGAGAGTAAATCTACATCAATAATTTGTAAATCTAATTGTAATTAGATCAAATAGTAATATCCATTGCAGAATGTTGGAGAGAAAAAACCCTGTCATGTTACGATAATATATTCCATTTTCTGAGATTTACAATGTGTATCTAATAAGATATACACACATAAGTGTTAATTCATTATCTTGTACAATCACAGCATGTAACATGTACATTAGACCACAGGGCCACGGATAGCCATACTATACTGACTGTACTGATTACATTAAAACATTTTTTTTAATGTAATCAGTACAGTCAGTATAGTATGGCTATCCGTGGCCCTGTGCATTAGACACACGGTGGAATATTATTTAAGCAAACCAATCCTAGCGCCAATATCACAGTTTCAGTGAAACGAAAACAAATCGAAACCGATCTTTCCAGCACCTCGTATCATTTTAGCATTTAAGTTGGTGTTTTGAGGAGTTGTATTATTTTTGTATCGCGTGTATCATCGACAGAAACTGCGGCCGAGGTCCCACATATGAGTAGTTGCTAACAGCGCTACAGAACCGGAAGTGGTTCTGCGAATGCGCGAAGAGGGCATTGTTGGTAATGCGTGCGCATCCAAGATGGCGACAGTTCCGGTTCCGGTGGCGTGCGCATCCAAGATGGCGACACGTCCGTTTCCTGGAGGCGTGCGCCTCCAAGATGGCGGCACGTTCGGTTCCAAGCTCCTTCCCAGCGCGTGACACCTTCGTTACACTCTCGGTAACATCGCTGCCACCAGTGTGGGCGCGGCCATTACAAGAATTTTGAAATTTGCCCTCTAACCCCAAACGTAGTAATGTTGATATTTTTGTTTATGTCTTTGGGAATGCCATCATATTTCATTTTGAAAAGGTTTACGACTGACCATGTTTTCCAGATGAATTTACTTCGTTGTTTTAATAATCAGATTGGTTCGAGATTGCAAACTATCGGAAGATCAAACAACTTCTCCCTTGCATTCTTACTATATCAATAACACGATAGTTTAAATGAAACAGAAATTTCAATTGACAAACGAAGAAAGTAATTTAGCAGCGATAAGTGTATTCGGCGTCACGACAGTCGTCACTTGTTTGTAAACATAACGATCATTCGGTTGCGACTTCAACTCCAAGCATGGTTGTGGCCACCTATTCAATGTGGGGAGTTTTGACTGGTGGCAGCTTGGTTCGGTTCCGAGGGGCTATCCAAGATGGCGGCGGCGGAAGGGGGGGGGAGGAGGGTTCTTTGTTTTTGGCTTGGTGGGTGAGTGTTCTTTGTTTTTGGTTTGGTGGGTGAGTGGTTGGGTGGTGATGGTGAAGAGGGTAGTCAAAGCAAGGATGAAAGCGTTCTTTCGGGATAGATGGGTGGTCCTGAAAAGGGCCGTTGGAAAACGAACTGGAAACTGTAAGAACTGGAAACGATTAGAAACTGAAAAAATACAGTGAAGCAGCATGTGCCATGCGTTAGTCACTTTGCTCAGATGATCTATCTTCTTCATCCACCACCAACACCGCCGCTGCCGTGTGTCAGACAGAAAAGATTGACTGTACAACCCTGCAAGACTGACTGTACACCCCTGTAAGACTGAGTGTACACCACTTTAAGACTAACTGTATGAGACTTATTATATGACTCTTTGCCAGGCAAATCTGCATATCACGTGGCCGGACTTGTTTGTAAACCAACGTGCTTATTCTAAAATTGGAACAGACTGGTCTAATGCAAGTACATATTGTGTTGAGCTTTACATATTGTTTTGCATAATTATATAGATATGCTACTACAACTACGACAGTGAGGTGAACAACAATATATATTTTTACATCGAAGTGACCCGGACCCGTGAAGATCCGGGGTAGAACAGATCTTCAGCAACCCATGCTTGCCGAAAAAAGCAATTATGCTTGCTGTAAGAGGCGACTATGGGGATCGGTTGGTCAGGCTCGCTGACGTTATTGATGCATGTCATCGAACCCAATTGTGTGGATCGATGTTCATGATGTCAATCACTGGATTCTTTGGTCCAGACTTGATTATTTAAAGACCGCCTTCATATAGCTGGACTATTGCTGAGTGCGTCCTTAAACAACAAAGAAACAAACAAACGAGGTGACCCTATCCCTAGCTGTCCCTGGGGCTTCTATGACAGCAGGCGGAGCTGTACAACCAATGTAAACAAACGATAACTATGCAAATGGAAATTGTTTTCCACGTTTGAGGATATTTTCTTAATGAAATGTTACCTTTCTATGACACATGATTATCTAAATGTGTATGCTCGTTAAAAATGAAACAGATGAAAAACATATGCAATATCTTGTATGGACTGTGTAAGACGTGACCTACTATCCCATGGCACTGGCCTGTGGTAGAAGTACTATGCTGTAGGTAGAAAGTCTGGGTAGGAGAGTGCAAATTAGACATATCGGAAAGTTGGTACCCTTGACCTTTTTACCGTAAAAAAGACAAATATTTCACATGAATGTGCCTCACAGTGTTATATAGAACCGACACCATATATCAATTTGAATGTTTCAACCATATAGACCAACATAACGCGAACGAAGATACCGGTGACCAACTTTACTTAACAATGGCGTCTGCAACACCACACTAGGATTTTTATTAAGGAACCAAATGGATAATGGCATATTATTAATCCACGAAATAGTTTACTTCTACCTGAGTGAAACTGCATGCACAATGCACCCTGGTAGATTGTTTTCATGTGATATTTACTTTGATACTCAACAAGACTTACCTCTGCCGCCGACAGATTACCATGGAAGTAGTCTTTTTCTGTTTTGTCGTGAATAGGTATCACTGCTGCTTCTGAGCACCTGCGGAGAAGGAGTGAGTGAGTGAGTTTTATGTTTAAGATGGTATAGTCTGTCAGCCAATGGAGCCGCAATGCACGATGGTATAGTCAGTCAGCCAATAAAGCCACAATGCACGATGGTATAGTCAGTCAGTCAATAGAGCGGCAGGACACCATGGTATAGTCAGTCAGTCAATAGAGCGGCCGGACACCATGGTATAGTCTGTCAGTCAATAGAACGGCAGGACACCATGGTATAGTCAGTCAGTCAATAGAGCGGCAGGACGCCATGGTAAAGTCAGTCAGTCAATAGAACGGCAGGACACCATGGTATAGTCAGTCAGTCAATAGAACGGCAGGACACCATGGTATAGTCAGTCAGTCAATAGAGCCGCAATGCACCATGGTATAGTCCTTCAGTCAATAGAGCGGCAGGACACCATGGTATAGTCAGTCAGTCAATAGAGCGGCAGGACGCCATGGTATAGTCAGTCAGTCAATAGAACGGCAGGACACCATGGTATAATCAGTCAGTCAATAGAGCCGCATTGCACCATGGTATAGTCCTTCAGTCAATAGAGCGGCAGGACACCATGGTATAGTCAGTCAGTCAATAGAGCGGCAGGACGCCATGGTATAGTCAGTCAGTCAATAGAACGGCAGGACACCATGGTATAATCAGTCAGTCAATAGAGCCGCATTGCACCATGGTATAGTCCTTCAGTCAATAGAGCGGCAGGACACCATGGTATAGTCAGTCAGTTAGTCAATAGAGCGGCCAGACACCATGGTATAGTCAGTCAGCCAATAGAGCGGCAGGACACCATGGTATAGTCAGTCAGTCAGTCAATAGAGCGGCAGGACACCATGGTATAGTCAGTCAGTCAGTCAATAGAGCGGCAGGACACCATGGTATAGTCAGTCAGTCAGTCAATAGAGCGGCAGGACACCATGGTATGGTCAGTCAGTCAATAGAGCAGCAAGACATCATGGCATAGTCAGTCAGTCAATAGAGCAGCAGGACACCATGGTTTAGTCAGTCAGTCAGTAGAGCGGCCGGACACCATGGTATAGTCAGTCAGTCAGTCAGTCAATAGAGCGGCAGGACACCATGGTATAGTCGGTCAGCCAATAGAGCGGCCGGACACCATGGTATAGTCAGTCAGTCAATAGAGCGGCCGGACACCATGGTATAGTCAGTCAGTCAGTCAACAGAGCGGCAGGACGCCATGGTATAGTCAGTCAGTCAGTCAATAGAGCGGCAGGACACCATGGTATAGTCAGTCAGTCAGTCAATAGAGCGGCAGGACACCATGGCATAGTCAGTCAGTCAATAGAGCGGCAGGACACCATGGTATGGTCAGTCAGTCAATAGAGCAGCAAGACATCATGGCATAGTCAGTCAGTCAATAGAGTAGCAGGACACCATGGTTTAGTCAGTCAGTCAGTAGAGCGGCCAGACACCATGGTATAGTCAGTCAGTCAGTCAGTCAATAGAGCGGCAGGACACCATGGTATAGTCGGTCAGTCAATAGAGCGGCCGGACACCATGGTATAGTCAGTCAGTCAATAGAGCGGCCGGACACCATGGTATAGTCAGTCAGTCAGTCAACAGAGCGGCAGGACGCCATGGTATAGTCAGTCAGTCAATAGAGCGGCAGGACGCCATGGTATTGTCAGTCAGTCAATAGAGCGGCCGGACACCATGGTATAGTCAGTCAGTCAGTCAACAGAGCGGCAGGACGCCATGGTATAGTCAGTCAGTCAGTCAATAGAGCGGCAGGACACCATGGTATAGTCAGTCAGTCAGTCAATAGAGCGGCAAGACACCATGGCATAGTCAGTCAGTCAATAGAGCGGCAGGACACCATGGTATGGTCAGTCAGTCAAAAGAGCAGCAAGACATCATGGCATAGTCAGTCAGTCAATAGAGCAGCAGGACACCATGGTTTGGTCAGTCAGTCAGTAGAGCGGCCGGACACCATGGTATAGTCAGTCAGTCAGTCAGTCAATAGAGCGGCAGGACACCATGGTATAGTCGGTCAGCCAATAGAGCGGCCGGACACCATGGTATAGTCAGTCAGTCAGTCAACAGAGCGGCAGGACGCCATGGTATAGTCAGTCAGTCAATAGAGCGGCAGGACGCCATGGTATAGTCAGTCAGTCAATAGAGCGGCAGGACGCCATGGTATAGTCAGTCAGCCAATAGAGCCACAGGATACCATGGTATAGTCAGTCAGCCAGTAGAGCGGCAGGACACGAGGGTATAGTCAGTCAGTCAATAGAGCGGCAGGGCACGAGGTTATAGTCAGTCAGTCAGTCAATAGAGCGGCAGGACACGAGGTTATAGTCAGTCAGTCAGTCAATAGAGCGGCAGGACACGAGGTTATAGTCAGTCAGTCAGTCAATAGAGCGGCAGGACACGAGGTTATAGTCAGTCAGTCAGTCAATAGAGCGGCAGGACACGAGGGTATAGTCAGTCAGTCAGTCAATAGAGCGGCAGGACACGAGGTTATAGTCAGTCAGCCAAAACAGCCGCAGGACACGAGGGTATAGTCAGTCAGTCAATAGAGCAGCAAGACATCATGGCATAGTCAGTCAGTCAATAGAGCAGCAGGACACCATGGTTTAGTCAGTCAGTCAGTAGAGCGGCCGGACACCATGGTATAGTCAGTCAGTCAGTCAGTCAATAGAGCGGCAGGACACCATGGTATAGTCGGTCAGCCAATAGAGCGGCCGGACACCATGGTATAGTCAGTCAGTCAATAGAGCGGCCGGACACCATGGTATAGTCAGTCAGTCAGTCAATAGAGCAGCAAGACATCATGGCATAGTCAGTCAGTCAATAGAGCGGCAGGACACCATGGTTTAGTCAGTCAGTCAGTAGAGCGGCCAGACACCATGGTATAGTCAGTCAGTCAGTCAGTCAATAGAGCGGCAGGACACCATGGTATAGTCGGTCAGTCAATAGAGTGGCCGGACACCATGGTATAGTCAGTCAGTCAATAGAGCGGCCGGACACCATGGTATAGTCAGTCAGTCAGTCAACAGAGCGGCAGGACGCCATGGTATAGTCAGTCAGTCAGTCAGTCAATAGAGCGGCAGGACACCATGGTATAGTCAGTCAGTCAGTCAATAGAGCAGCAAGACATCATGGCATAGTCAGTCAGTCAATAGAGCGGCAGGACACCATGGTTTAGTCAGTCAGTCAGTAGAGCGGCCAGACACCATGGTATAGTCAGTCAGTCAGTCAGTCAATAGAGCGGCAGGACACCATGGTATAGTCGGTCAGTCAATAGAGTGGCCGGACACCATGGTATAGTCAGTCAGTCAATAGAGCGGCCGGACACCATGGTATAGTCAGTCAGTCAGTCAACAGAGCGGCAGGACGCCATGGTATAGTCAGTCAGTCAGTCAATAGAGCGGCAGGACACCATGGTATAGTCAGTCAGTCAGTCAATAGAGCGGCAAGACACCATGGCATAGTCAGTCAGTCAATAGAGCGGCAGGACACCATGGTATGGTCAGTCAGTCAATAGAGCAGCAAGACATCATGGCATAGTCAGTCAGTCAATAGAGCAGCAGGACACCATGGTTTGGTCAGTCAGTCAGTAGAGCGGCCGGACACCATGGTATAGTCAGTCAGTCAGTCAGTCAATGGAGCGGCAGGACACCATGGTATAGTCGGTCAGCCAATAGAGCGGCCGGACACCATGGTATAGTCAGTCAGTCAGTCAACAGAGCGGCAGGACGCCATGGTATAGTCAGTCAGTCAATAGAGCGGCAGGACGCCATGGTATAGTCAGTCAGTCAATAGAGCAGCAGGACGCCATGGTATAGTCAGTCAGCCAATAGAGCCGCAGGATACCATGGTATAGTCAGTCAGCCAGTAGAGCGGCAGGACACGAGGGTATAGTCAGTCAGTCAATAGAGCGGCAGGACACGAGGTTATAGTCAGTCAGCCAAAACAGCCGCAGGACACCATGGTATAGCCCGTCAGCCAATAGACTGGCAGGACACGAGGGTATAGTCAGTCTACCAATAGAGAGGCAGGTCACGAGGATAGGATGTACTCACGACACATCTGTGCCGCCAACGAGGCTGTCGCACAACGTTTTGAAGCCAACACTGATGGTGCAAGCAGAAATGAGGACCAAGAAGAATGCAACACCGTCAGCGATGACCTGGATCAGGAACGGTAACTCTGCGAACTGTATTCTGAAAAAAGAAGAAGAGTTTCTTGTGTTACATTAATTTAGAATGAAAACAGCGTAATTTACCAATACCATGCATGGTTGACAACAAACATGAGCGGTATGCCCTATTGTGAAATAATTCACGGTTACCAAGTCTATCAAATCCCTATATTTTGCAATGAATACCCTGAACCTATTTGCTGCCTTTGCTTCCTTCAGAGTCTGATTCATATGACACAGCGCTCAAAACTTACATTTTATCCTTTAGAATGCCGATGAAGGTGAGGACGGTGAGGACAATGACGGCGATAGGACACAGCAAGCAGAATATGACGGCGATGGCGATGCTGTAGTTACATATGGACACCGATCCATACGACTTCTTTATCTCCGCGTACAACAAACAGTTTTGTTCGTGTTTAGACTGGAACAGAGATCACAGAGACTGAACAAACAAGTGACGTCACGTAACACACTATGACGTCATGACATCTGTACTCATAATAGGGCAAATCTTGGATCCATCTTCCTCACCTCACTGATATTACACTAGAGTGAGTGAGTGAGTGAGTGAGTGAGTTGAGTTTAATGCTGCTTTTAACATTATTTTAGTCATATCGCGGCGTGTCAGCTTAATGTGGAAGGAAAGCCCGAAGTGATGCAGGTCTCAGACGATTACCACTTTGGTGAAACCCGCGAGCACGGGTATGGTGCTGACAAACCTAGAAACATAATCGGGGCGAACCGGGATTTGAACCCACAATCATAGGTTTCTGGCGTGCCCAAGGGACATGCCCAACGAACGCAACTCTGCACAGCGAATCGCTGCGCCTTAGACAACTGGGCCACCCGTGCCCCCGATAATATGTCGAGACCTTGTGAGAATAATCTTACTGCCATATCTTAAACACAGAAATTATAATTCTTATTGCAGATTTCTATGCTAGGACAAACACTTTGTCTGGCGTTGGCACACCTGATACACATATATTGACAAGAGAAAGAATTGGATTCTGAATGTAATTTAGGAGACCATGGGACATCTAAACTTAGAGGGTCCCCAGGCAATGATAAAATAATTATGGATTTAGAGTGATTGAACTATGCCACCGCTACTACAGAGGTGGCCCAGGAAGGTTTTCTGGTCATAATACTTGCAAGGCTGTAAGCACAATACATTACGCCATTTCTTCAGCAATAGCCTGTCCTTTGATTTCGAACTTTGCCATATATGTTATAGGTGCACACAGACCAGTGAGTGAGGTATGGTCTTACGCCGATTGTAGCGGCATTCCTGAAACATCATGGCGGAGGACGCCAGAAATGGGCTTCACACATTGTACCCTCACAGACCAGTGAGTGAGGTATGGTCTTATGCCGATTGTCGAATCATTCCTGCAACATCATGGCGGAGGACGCCAGAAATGGGCTTCACACATTGTACCCTCACAGACCAGTGAATTGTAACTTGCATGTAGTAAATAACAAGTTATAATTACTGAACCAGATAACAATCTTACAAACATTTTAAAGCATGCAAGTTTGATAACTCCAAGGCTGCTAAGTGTGCTTGAGATTTAGCAGAGCAAGATGGAAACATTCTCTTTACAAAATCGGGGTCACTGCGAGAAGGTCAAGGTAATCAAAGCGAGGTTACGAATGAACTGGCCCGGGGGATCACGTGCTGATAGAATCAGAACGAAACACATTCGGGAATGCTCCTGATAAGGTAAAGACTACCACGCGTCGTAATATGCCTTGTCGGAGATACCTTGGTTTGTCCCCGAATGTAAGCACAAACGTAAACACTTGAAGGTAAAACACTAAAAAGTAACATATATATCTTACGTAAAGCTAGTAAAGAGCCCAAGCTTTATCGGAGATATCAACAAAGCAGTTTAGTTGCTAAATCTAATATAATCTTTGTAAATACAATCTACCCGAGGTATTTGATAACCCTGTGTTATAAATAAAACTTGAACCAACGCCAAATACCATTAATTGTGTGTGTGGCTGCTTGAACGAGTCGGGACCAATGCCGGTTTCGGAGTGTTGGCCTACTGAGATACCATGCCACAGTTTAAAATGGATACCCCACTCAGGCACAATATACGGACTCCGAGCCAACAACTCTCTGTTTTATCCCTTCAATGCCGAGTACCAGACTGGATAACAAGTGCTATCTTTTAACGTCTTTTGTTATGACGCGGCCGGGGATCGAACCACCGACCTTCCGCTCTCCGGACAGACGCTGTACCCACTCGCCTACCCAGAGTGTCTTGAGGCCAGCCTGATACCTCTGCCACAGTCCAGCGACGTGTCACGATACTTCGCATCTTACATGTCAATTAAAAATATGGCATATGTTTTTCACCTGTTTCATTTTTTACGAGTCTTCACATATAGATCAACACATGTCATAGAATGGTTAAGTTTTGTTGAGAAAATATCCTAAAACGTTAAAGACTATTTCGATTTGCACATTTTATCATTTGTTTACATTTGTTGTAGGGCTTCACGTGCTGTGCATATGGAGAACGATACGGCCCCTTTGATGTACATAATGATCTCATGATCCTCGCTTTTGCAGGTGTAGTGGCGTATCGATAATATTATGGAAGCCAATATGCCAAAGGCTTCTTTTAGGCCAGTTTGATCTGACTTTTACAACAAGAGAAAAGTCCGGTCACGTTATAGGCAAACTAGCCTGTGAAAATGGTGTAATGCTTCAGGTTATCCAGGACAGGTTGAACCAACCCACAAAACGCGTTTGAGACGAGAAGGCGGTGCACAGAATTTTGGTAAACACATTTGGTTTGTTGCAGGTAGAGCGTGTACTCATAACTCCCGCCAATATGAAGTGTCCGGATGTTTTATAACGTGTGCAAGGCAAGAAATATTTACAGTTTTCAAGATCTGTTCCGGAAACGAGCGCTACCGCCATTTTCAGTCAAAGTTAAAGTCGTTGCTATGGAAACTCGAAAATTAATTTTTCAAAAATCCCAAACTAGCAAAGGCACCAGTTTACTACTAGACCTATCTATGTGCCAAGTTTGATGAAGAAATACTGTACGGTTTTCAAGATCTGCTCCGGAAACGAGCACAACCGCCATTTTCAGTCAAAGTCAAAGTCGTTGCTATGGAAACTCGAAAAATAAAGTTTTAAAAATCCCAAACTATCAAAAAGCACCAGTTTACCACTAGACATATCTATGTGTCAAGTCTGGCCTAGATATTTCTCATGGATTTTTAGTTCTGCTCCGGAAACGAAGCGTGACGGACAGACAACACTTATTCCTATATCCCCTTTCCACCTCGTGGTGGGGATAATAAACACGTGAAAGCTAGGTAAAGCATGGACAAATCACACATTCTCAGGCTCGAGAGTTGGCATTTCATGTCATAAGTTACATCGGTGAAAAGCGATGGTTTAGATCATATAACTGTCAGTCAAATTATTATTTCAGTTGACAGTTTCAGTGACAATGAAAATATTTAAGCATAAAAGTTTTGAGACATTCCCCGTGTTCCACGATGCCCTTCAGCTGTTATGTTTATTGCACAGGGCCCCTTGTAACAACTGGCATTACATCCCCAACAATTACATGATAGTTTGTTAAACAACATTTTTCTACACTTCATGACAGTGTCTGAAATTGTGGTAACGAGTTGGTACGGACAAATAAATAACTTTCATGCCATATAAGACGAATTGCTTCTTTCGGATTTATACATATATTGCGTTTCATCGGGACGTTGTTGCAGCAAACGGACTGTAAATGTCGCGGACCACCCGCTACCCCTTTCTTCACAATGGTACGCGCCAGTTGCCGGGCCTCATGCATAGTCCAACGGGTGTTAATTGTCTCGTCACAACTCAACTTATCCAGGCTTACTAGTACTTATCAAAGTATCTGAGGTATTTTAGACAATTGACATGATACAATGTCATCTTGCTCTACATTACTATATAATGTACTATGTAATGTGTAATCATGTACCACCGATGGAGGTTTATTTTGAGAATAGCAGTATTAATAGTGGTAACGAAACACAAGACGACTTTTAAAAGATGTAATTCTATAAGTGGGTTATACCGACATCACCGCCCTGCAGGCCTTCCGTTAGATTGTTTGTAGCTTGAGTGCATGTGTAAACGCCAGTTAATAGTTGAACGTGAGGTCACTCCAGAATGAACGCACAATAGACCTAATCGACCGTTGTATCAAACTCGTATGTTTCTGTGAAACGAACTTGACTCACTGGGCTGACTTCGTCAAGGTCGCGTGAAACACGATAAGGAAGAACACTCACCAATACGTGTTTCACGCACTCAACTCATTGATCCTATTGTGTCCGCGGTTGTAAGACTACATGAGAGAGAAATACCGTGGGGGTCAAACAACACGTCACAACTTGGAGTCTGGATGCAGTCTCTGCTTTCAAAATATATTTTGTAATACGAGTCATATTTCATTTCCCGTAATTTGTGTATCCCAAGGGAACCAGGCTGCCAGACGAGCATGCGAGTTCATAGACTTGCACAAGACTATAGGGAAATGATTATTAGTTTCAATAATAATTCCAAGATGATATAAAATATCTCCAAGGAAATGATTATTAGTATAAATCATAATCCTTGGATTATACTAATAGTAAGCACAAGTTGTCCCTATAGAAGACTTGCGAACTTAGAATTTACTGTCCACTTATTTAGGCTTTCATATTATTAGGATAAAATTACTATACATCCATGAACTTGTCATTCAGTACAGCCTTAGAGCAAGGCTAGCCACTTCAAGCACCACTACACATGTGTCATTCAGTCGTCAGGCGTATAGCAGGAAACGGAAAGTGTGCCGATGTACAAACTATCACGGGAATGGGCTAATTTACGGGCATGTCCCAACCCCTACCCCTACACCACTGCCCAACGATGTTATACAAGACAATACGTTACGAAGTACGTACAATTGGGAAGCTTTCGTCTAAGAATACATTATGTAAGACTAGAAACTAGAAAGATTACTCGTCCCTCTTAAACAGTGCTGGCAACAGGGCGAAGGACAGGTCCATTTCGAACGCAGCCCTCACAACAAAGCATAAGTACGTTACCAAGGCAATCGATGCCTTGAAATAGGATCTCGAGACATTTATAATAAATAAATGTAAGCATCGCTATGGGCCGATATCTCTTCCCGAAAGGCCGTTGTCATATTTATCCATCGTTTGATGCATGCTAATTACTTAATTACGTACTTAGATGAAAGATTGCTTGTAATATATTCTAAACCACGGATGTGTAATATCATCGGTGGAGCCGCATGTAAACGATCTGTCGTCTGATGTCCGCTTTAAATAATTAAAGAACGCAGTACAAGATTCTACTGTGACAAATATTGATCCATTTAAACCTATGAACGTCACACAAATATATTCAAGTCCTAACTTGTTCAAGACGGACGAATCTTTTGAACGTATATATTATCGGTCTGGTACAGACAGCGACCCACATAGACGAGGCATACCATGATGTTTATTCCGCCCTTCAGTCATGCATGGCGGGCCTTCTACACACGACCTGCCTTCATGGTGATCACGGCATGTGGAATACTTGTCATGGAAAGGAATACACGTATTAAATACACTTACCATGCTTACTCCCAGTGCTGAAAATATTATAAGGCTACATATTATAATCACAGCATAGAGAGCTGTCCTGACAATGAGGATAAGACGGGCCGACATCATGAAAGCCACTGCTGAACTGAGATTCCGTTTTGCCGCCAGGATTGGCAGTGTTGACCAGAGTTACCTCCCTTTGGAAAACAGTTGAACAGGATACAAGCTGATACTGTAAAACACGAAATTAATGCGAGCAGAATATTAATGCGAAAAATGCGAGTGACGGAAGGTCGTATTAATTTTATGCGCATTAATTTTGTACCATCAAAATAAGGAAACAATCAACAAACGAAATAAATCACTTCAGTATTATTTACTAGTATTACATCAAAACCAATGATATCAAACCATTACAAGTTGATAGCAGCCACTGACAACAATCAGTCACAAAGGTAATAGATAAATACATTACTAGACAAAATAACAAAGTCACCTACACAAAGTGAAGTTGAGTAGTTGTCAGTTCACATCCTGTCAAGCAGCCCAGATTGGCGCCAGCCACGAATTATCCCATCAGTCTCCTTTACAAGCTTGTCGCAAGGAGCAGTTCATAGCTGTAATTTCACAGTCAGGTCACCAGTAACATATTGTCATATTGCAAGGAGAAGTTCATAGCTGTAGTTTCGCAGTCGGGTCCATCTAGTAACATATTGTGATGTTGCAAGGAGAAATTCATAGCTGTAATTTCGCAGTCAGGTCCATCTAGTAACATATTGTCATATTGCAAGGAGAAGTTCATAGCTGTAAATTTGCAGTCAGGAAAATCCAGTAACATATTGTGATGATGCAAGGAGAAGTTCATAGCTGTAATTTCGCAGTCAGGTCCATCTGGTAACATATTGTCATATTACAAGGAGCAGTTCATAGCTGTAATTTCACAGTCAGGTCACCAGTAACATATTGTCATATTGCAAGGAGAAGTTCATAGCTGTAGTTTCGCAGTCGGGTCCATCTAGTAACATATTGTGATGATGCAAGGAGAAGTTAATAGCTGTAATTCCGCAGTCAGGTCCATCTAGTAACATATTGTCATATTGCAAGGAGAAGTTCATAGCTGTAGTTTCGCAGTCGGGTCCATCTAGTAACATATTGTGATGTTGCAAGGAGAAGTTCATAGCTGTAATTTCGCAGTCAGGTCCATCTAGTAACATATTGTCATATTGCAAGGAGAAGTTCATAGCTGTAAATTTGCAGTCAGGAAAATCCAGTAACATATTGTGATGATGCAAGGAGAAGTTCATAGCTGTAATTTCGCAGTCAGGTCCATCTAGTAACATATTGTGACTTTGCAAGGATCAGTTCATAACTGGAATTTAACAGTCAAGCCCATCTAATAACATGTTGTGATGTTGCAAGGTGAAGTTCATAGCTGTAATTTCGCAGTAAGTTCCACCTAGTAACATATTGTCATATTGCAAGGAGAAGTTCATAGCTGTAAATTTGCAGTCAGGAAAATCCAGTAACATATTGTGATGATGCAAGGAGAAGTTCATAGCTGTAATTTCGCAGTCAGGTCCATCTAGTAACATATTGTGATGTTGCAAGGAGAAGTTCATAGCTGTAATTTCGCAGTCAGGCCCATCAAGTAACATATTGTCATATTGCAAGGAGAAGTTCATAGCTGTAATTTCGCAGTCAGGTCCATCTAGTAACATATTGTGATGTTGCAAGGAGAAATTCATAGCTGTAATTTCGCAGTCAGGTCCATCTAGTAACATATTGTCATATTGCAAGGAGAAGTTCATAGCTGTAATTTCGCAGTCGGGTCCATCTAGTAACATATTGTCATATTGCAAGGAGAAGTTCATAGCTGTAATTTCGCAGTCAGGTCCACCTAGTAACATATTGTGATGTTGCAAGGAGAAGTTCATAGCTGTAATTTCGCAGTCAGGTCCATCTAGTAACATATTGTCATATTGCAAGGAGAAGTTCATAGCTGTAATTTCGCAGTCAGGTCCATCTAGTATCATATTGTCATATTGCAAGGAGAAGTTCATAGCTGTAATTTCGCAGTCAGGTCCGTCTAGTAACATATTGTGATGTTGCAAGGAGAAGTTCATAGCTGTAATTTCGCAGTCAGGTCCATCTAGTAACATATTGTCATATTGCAAGGAGAAGTTCATAGCTGTAATTTCGCAGTCGGGTCCATCTAGTAACATATTGTCATATTCCAAGGAGAAGTTCATAGCTGTAATTTCGCAGTCAGGTCCACCTAGTAACATATTGAGATGTTGCAAGGAGAAGTTCATAGTTGTAATTTCGCAGTCAGGTCCATCTAGTAACATATTGTCATATTGCAAGGAGAAGTTCATAGCTGTAATTTCGCAGTCAGGTCCGTCTAGTAACATATTGTGATGTTGCAAGGAGAAGTTCATAGCTGTAATTTCGCAGTCAGGTCCATCCAGTAACATATCGTGATATTGCAAGAAGTTCATAGCTGTAATTTTCTTTTTCTCTACTTCATGGCAATGTCTGAACTTATGGTGACGAGTTAGTATTGACAAATAAAGGACTTTCATGCCATTTAAGACGAATTGTTGCTTTCGGATTTATATCTACTTTGCGTTTTATCTGTACGATTTTGCAGCAAACGGACTGTAGACCGGGGGTATATCAAAACGGACTAATGATCATGGGAAATTGTTTGTCAAAATCAACTTGGCTTTATTCCGAGAGAGAGAAAAGGGTAACGCAAATCCTTTGAGTTTTTGAGAATCGACATCGTATTAATTCCACTTGTCTCAAATATTTTCTGTAAATAAAATGAATTTCCTTCCAAACAAGTATGGCGGCGGTAGGGTAGCCTTGAGCGTTCGCTCGTCACGCCAAAGACTCGGGTTCGATTCCCCACATGGGTACAATGTGCGAAGACATTTCTGGTGTTCCCCGCCGTGATGTTGCTGGAATATTGCTAAATGCGACGTAAAACCATACTCGCTCACTCACTCATGGATGGCATTTGGTGGGTTTTTTTCTGAGAGTACTTGATAACTGCACGTTTGTCCATTCTCCTACCTCTGCATATTTTATTTACTTGTCACAACGAAACAATTTGACTCGAGTTTTTGTGGAAATACCTCTATGACATCATGCAAATGTCCACAACAAAAGATTTCACCATTACCAAATTCATTCTATATGAGGCTCCGAGCTTATCAACCAGCCCTATGTACGGGTATCCGATATGAAGCTGATCGTCACGGCAGATAGGCTGAACTCTTCCTTGAGGCAAGGAAGTTGGAACAGGCGCTTCTTCCCCGTCGGAATTGTTTGTTTCTTGTTCGACGCCGCATTCCAGCTATGTTCCAGCTTTACGACGGCGGTCTGTAAATAATCGAGTCTGTACCAGACAATCCAGTGATTGACATCATGAGCATCGATCCACGCAATGGGGATAGGATGACATGCATCAACCATGTCACCGAGCCTGAACACCTGATCCCGTTAGTCGCCTCGTTCGAAAAGCATAGCAGCCTTTTACCGCAAGCATGGGTTGCTGAAGACCTATTCTACCCCGGATTTTCACGGGCCCCATATTGATGGGATTGTTCCGTTTTCAAAGCAATATTTTATTATTCTGTCAAGTAAATCAACAGAGCTGGAGTTATTTAATACCTCTGCTGGTATATCATCTATTCCAGTAAATTTACCATTCTTTAACCGGAACACTGCTCTCTCAATTTCAATTCCAGAAATAGGTTCATTTAAAAGATAAGTATCCAAACTATTTGCTGGTAAAACTCGTTAAAATCACTTGGACAGTCAGTGAGTGTGCTCCTATCAAAAAGTGCTTCATTTGTATGTTTCAATTTTGATAACACGTAATCATGGTCATAACAAACGTCACCGTCGTCATCAACAGCCACTTGTGGATGTGACGCTGCTTCTCATTTGCTAGTACAATTTTCAAATTTTCTTCCAACATGTTTTCCTTTATGCTCAAAATGTAGGTTAGTCAGTTTATCTTGCTGTTTCAATGCATAGCTGAAATATTGCTGAGCGCGGCGTTTAACGACAAAAAAACCCAAATAAGTTATGCATAGTTACGTTTTGTGTGACGATTTAATCGATCAAACCTTTTCCTAGATTCACTATGTAATCCCCTCAGTCTCCCTCTATGTCACTCTAACGTTTCCTTTATGCTTTAACCACTGTTTTTCACATTGGCAAACAACATTCCATAATGTTTGTAGGTTACAGGTCCAGTAAGGTTCGTATTTTGATTTATTGTTGTCATTTGGATTTTTGTAAAAACGTTTCTGGGGTATTTTTTTAGTCATTTCGGTGTGGATTAAATCCACAAAGGTTTGGTAAGCAAGATTTGCATAAGGTTTCATCATGCAAGTCATTATCCAATGTATCTCTAGTTTCTAAAAGCAACTGCAACGATAGCCGGTTTTAAGAAACAAACCTGGGATATGTTAGAGGTCATATTTAAAACAACGATTGTTGTTGTTTTGTACATTTATAGGTTTAAACTCTACACTTAAGGTGGCAGTAGTATCTAAATTGGAGTTATGGGGGGTTTTGTTACATCCTTGTGAAGTTTGCTTTATCAGATAAATGTTCATGGGGACCAAACGTGTGGTCAACAATAGCTCTGCCTCTGGGTGAGGGGGGCACGGTTGGCCCAGTCGTCTAAGGCGCCGCGATTCGCAGATGTGCAGAGTTGCATCTCTTGGTTTGAATCACGGTTCGCCCCGATTATGTTTCTAGGTTTGTCAGCACCATAACCGTGCTCGTGGGTTTCACCGAAGTGGTAAACGTCTGGGACCTGCATCACTTGGGGCTTTCCTCCCACATTAAGCTGACACGCCGCGATATAACTGGAATACTGTTAAAAGCGGCGTTAAACCAAACTCACTCACTCAATGAAAACACTTTTTCCTTTCTTCGATAGAACCTTTCCTCTTCAGCTGTTTTTATGTGGAATCAAGGAAACTAGACTTGGTTTAGTGTGATCTAGACTTGCCAAGGCTTTTACTATATATAAATATCCCAGTCATGGTGCAGGACGAATGGAAAGGCTAGAGAGAAACCATGTTACAGTCTGTTTCGCAAGTGTTGTCATTTGTAATTAAAATCTTTACAAATTCGTGTATTTTCTATG